ATGTACCACATATGCAACTTTATGTTGATGCCTTTGCCTATACACGTGCCCCACATCCCACTCCTAACTCATATGATCGTAAGACCACTAGCTCCATCCCTAGAGGCCATTGTTTTCGATTCCACACACAGGGGGATAAGTGCCTCGCGGCGAGCTGCCCATTCAGGCATGACTGTCCCATCTGTGCAGGAGCACACAAAATCTTCACCTGCCCCAAAAAAGATTAGCCCAAGTATACCCACACCAGTAAACGTTGAGAAAATGGCACTTTATCTGGAGGGCTACCCTGAAAGGGAGAAGGATTACATTGTCAAGGGTTTTACATACGGATTTCCTTTAGAATACTTTGGCCCGCGAAATAGAAATTCAACTAAGGTCATAGTACCAAATCCCACTCAATTCGCGCGATCGGCTTTGTCCATAGAATATTAAACCTTGATGACCCTACTACAACCTTTCCCATCCGTAAACTAATGCACTCCATCCAAAAGCATCATGTCCCTGATAGCAGATTGCCTATATCCCCTCACATATTGTCAAAATAGATTGATTCCTTAGCATGCATTGATATCAAGCACTACGACCAGTGCCTATATAAAGCAATGTTCTCACTGATGTACTATGCTTTTGCACGCATTAGTGAAGTTACAATTGCCCCTGCATCCCAACACACCCTAATGTTGGCAGACCTTCACCGGGTATTTCTGACCAAAATGGCAGTCTAACTTCCAATGTGGTATGCTTCAAGTCGTACAAGCACAGCATGCCTTCTACACAATCCACTATCGCAATCTCAGCACAACCAAATAGCCCTCACTGCCCCGTACAAAGCCTGACCCAATACCTACGCCTGAGAGGAGGAAAACCAGGGCACCTGTTCCTACGTAATAATGGCTACCCAGTTAGCAGCGACAATTTCGCTAGAGTTCTAAAAACTTGTGTGCTTTAAGCCAAATTAGATCCTCAGAAATACACTCCTTCCGTATCGGTGCTGCTACGCAGGCAGCCTTACAGGGAGTACCAGATTCCATACTCCGCTTACTAGGGAGATGGTCCTCTGACGCGTTCAAACAGTATATTCGAACATGATCTATAAAACAATGTAGCCACACAGCGCATAACAGATACGGGTAAAATAACAGGCGCGTCTTGGCGAGTTGCCTTCGTGCCTCCATTGAATACAGAGTAAAATGCCCATTGTTATAATGATAATGTTAATCGGCACTGGCCATGAGTTGGGAATCAGAATGCCGCATCTTTGTTGCTAGACTGTTGCCTTATCCACTCGTTAAAATGTATTACTTGTTAGAACGGTCATAATAGGTTAGAACAGTTATACGGTCATTATTACCGTATGACACGATTGCTAAACTTCTTTATCCAGTCGGCTTGCCAAATTATCAAAGTCAGTTGATAGACTCGAACGTTATAGTTAGTTGTTAGGAGTCGAACTTTGATTGTAACAGAATATTGTGTAGGAATGTAACAGCCGTCGTTACAACCACCCGATCGTTATGGCGTTCTGAACTTCTGACTGTGATATATCGTTCCACAACTGTTCAATGAGATCATTGTAGCGCACATAAACATTAAACATTGTTCTACTGTGATACCTACATAGTTCAAACCATGTTTGTTATTCATGGAACACCATATTGTTCTCAAGGTTCTAACATATAGTAGCATCAGCTGTCCGTTTTGCCTAGTCACTGAAACTGTTGAATAGTGTCTGGCACAGTTCATAGATTTTAGACACGAACCAACATTAGTACTAAGAATTTATAGCAGTAGCTATCTCTATTAGTAACTAGAAACATGGATATTTCAAATTGTAAAGCAGCTTCCACAGAACTAATCATAAACTAGTACATATGCTCACCACCATTCTACGATGTTCTAGTTCATGTATCGTGCTATCGTGACTCTGACCAGCATAAGTCGCTTTGACAGTTCTTGTATTGTTAAACTATTACAGCATTGGTGGTGGGAAAAAATCCTGACTAACATTACGGTAGAAAGTGTACAATCGATGGAAAAGTTGTAAGATTGGCATAATATTTTTACACTGAAAATCTGTTCATAAGATGTGTGTTTCGGTTGTCATGGTAACCATCATGTCTCAACGAGCATTGTGAATCGTACACAAGTTTCTATAGCTGTTTATCAATATCTATTTGTATTGAATCCATGTCAGTATTAAAATACCTTATATTCCCGCCAAACGAACTGTGTCGGCTATTGTTTATTCCCATTCTTTATTAAGGTGTCGGCTAGAGAGGAAGGCATAAATTACTTTTCGTGAAACGAAAAGGGATTTATTCAAGAAATATAACAAGCACTATCAATTGTCGAATCGACTTGATCAACATTAAAAGTCTGTATACGTAATTAGAAACAAAGTGATAAATAATTTCTTCTTCTTTCTTTACTGTCATTTAGCCCTTGTGTAGAGCGGAATTCCGGCAGTCGACTCAGTATGGCCACACTTCAGGACTGTGTCAATGGCCTAGGCACTACGCCAGTGAAAGCATACAAGCAATACGAAGTGTCGCATATGCAGCAGGCTATCGATGCAGTAAAACGTGGCTCAAATGCCAACAAGGCATCAAAACTGTTTTCAGTTCCAAGAAAAACCTTAACAGCAGCTCAGGGGTCTCCACCCCTTGACCACCGGTGGTCAGACCGTTTTGATGAATGACGAGGAAAGTTGCCTAGAAAAGTACATAGGAAAAATGGCGGAATGGGGACACCCCATATCTGTCCCCATTCTGAAGGCACTTGCGGGTGAGATCCATCAAAGAAAATACAAAACAACCGGCAAAACCCCCAGGTTTCGTATCTGCGAGGCAAGTGGAAAACTAGTTGCTCGGAGAAAGTGGTGGAGGGGGTTTAAAAAGCGCCACCCGCAGATAGCCCACCGGGCGCAAGACCCCCTGTCGAGGGAGAGGGCAAAAATGTCCAGCCAGGAGACGGTAGATGATTTCTTTAAGTTGTACACTAAGATCGTAGCAGAGAACCGTCTACAAAACAAGCCGAATCTTATTCACAATTGTGATGAAACCGGGATATCGATGGAAGTCAATCGGGGGAGAGTTCTTGTGCCGAAGGGGGTTAAGGGGGTCCCATGCAAAAGCATAAGGGGGTCCCATGGCACAAAAGACCGTGTAACATTCCACAAGGTAAAACATTGGCACCCATGCTCATTTACAAGAAGAGCTTTCCCAGTGGAGCGTACACACAAAGTGGTCCGGATAACACCCTGTACGCAGTGTCGGAGTCGGGGTTCATGGACAAAGACCTGTTCGAAAAATGGTTCTGCAACCACTACGTCCGCACCCTCCCTCCGGATAGGCCAGTACTTCTCCTCCTTGACCAATGCGAGGTTCACCTATCAGTAAAGACAATCCAAACAGCACTAGATGAAAACATAATCTTACTTGGCCTCCCCCCACACACATCCCATTTTTTACAGCCCCTGGACAA